CCACCTGTCCCTGACACTGTCCCCCATGCTGTCCCCACCTGTCCCTGATACTGTCCCCTATGCTGTCCCCAGCTGTCCCTGACACTGTCCCCCACACTGTCATAAACTGTCCATGACATTGTCCCCCACTGTGTCCCCAGCTGTCCCTGACACCATCCCCCAGTCCCCACCTGTCCCTGACGCTGTCCCCCACGCTGTCCCCACCTGTCCAACAGTGTCCCCCAGGCTGTTGCCACATGTCCCCGACACTGTCCCCCATGCTGTCCCCTATGCTGTCCCCATCTGTCCCCAACACTGTCCCCCACACAGTCTCCACCTGTCCTTGACACTGTCCCCCACACTATCCCCTACAGTCCTTGGCACTATTCCCCATGCTGTCCCCTCCTATAGGCAAACCTGTCCACCATACTCTCTCCTCCTGTTCCTGACACTGTCCCCACCTGTCCCTGACACTGTCCCCCAAGCTGTCCTCACTGTCCCCAACACTGTCCCTCACACTGTCCCCCACACTCTACCCACCTGTCCCCAACACCGTCCCTCACACTGTCCCCACCTCTCCCTGACACTGCCCCCATGCTGTCCCCACCTGTCCCCGACACTATCTCCTGAACTGTACCTACCAGTCCAACACTGTCCCCCACACTGTCCCCTCCTGTACCTGACACTGTCCCCCACACTGTCCCCTCCTGTACCTGACACTGTCCCCCACACTGTCCCCTCCTGTACCTGACACTGTCCCCCATGCTGTCCCCACCTGTCCCCGACACTATCTCCTGAACTGTACCTACCAGTCCAACACTGTCCCCCATGCTGTCCCCACCTGTCCCTGACACTGTCCCCCACGCTGTCCCCTCCTGTCCCTGATGCTGTCTTCTGTGCTGTCCACATCTATCCCTGATGCTGTCCCCCACGCTGTCCCCACCTGTCCCTGACACTGTCCCCCACGCTGTCCCCACCTGTCCCTGACACTGTCCCCCACGCTGTCCCCACCTGTCCCTGACACTGTCTTCTGTGCTGTCCACATGCTATTGATGCCCTGGCTCTGCTCTCCGTGTCTAAGCCTCAGAGCAGGCAATGGTGAGGCCCTGGCACCTGGGTGGCCTGAAGGGTGGATGTGCCTTAGGGGCAGGGCTGTGACCTCAGTGGCCTGAGGGGTGGGTGGGCCTTGGGGGCAAGGCCGTGGCCTCGCTCACCCCTGTGCTGTGCCTTGCCTACAGGTGAAGTGGATCTTCTCCTCGGTGGTGGACCTGAAGCAGACCATCGTCCCTGACTACAGGAACATGATCGGGCAGGGACCCTAGGGTCACCCTCTGTGGGGTGTCCAGGGCCGCCCAGACCCCAAACAGGAGCCGTGGGCAATGCTCAGCCACCACCCAGGCGACACCTGACCCCTGACCTCACCACTCTCAACCCCATGGCTCTCTGGCCTCGCAGTTGCCCTCTGACCCTGCCATACCAGACACGCCCCCCTTCCAGACCCTGTGCATAGCAGGTCTACCCCAGACGTCCACTGCTTGGTGCATGCAGGGCCCTGGGGGCCAGGTGTGCCCTCAGCAGGACATCCCTGCCCTCCAGCCCGCCAGGTGCTCACACAAAAGGAGGCAGCGGCCGACATACCAGGCGCCCACCCAGGCAGGAGCTGTTGTCCCTGGAGCCGACCCCGTCCACGCCAGCCTTCTGAACACAGGTGTGGTTTCCACATGGTGAGTGGGAGCATCAGCCACCAAGGCGGGGAAGCCACAGCACCATCAGGCCCTGCTGGGGAGGCTTCGGAGAGCTGCGAAGGCTCAGTCAGACGGCCTTCCTCCCAGCCCGCAGCCAGCCACCTCCATTCTGGGCACTCCTGGGAACTGACATGAGGAATGAGGTTGTTCTTATTTCAAGCCACGCACGCTGCTCTCCGGCTCCTGGGAAGAAGCCTCCCATGGAACAGGGTCTCGGTGCCAGCACCGCACCTTGGATGCCAGCCCACGCTGCTGGATTCTCGGGTGGAACTTGACCCACAGGGACAGCCAGCCCCAGAGTCTGCACTGGGAGAGGAAGGACCAGGGCCAGGACACGGCCACCTCCCACCCACTCCACTCCGCCGAGATCACTCAGAGAAGAGCCTGGGCCACGTGGCTGCTGCAGGAGCCCTACAGGGCAAGGGCGAGGACAGCCCAAGGAACGGGTGGGCATCCGCCCAGGCAGGTCTATCAGAGGAGGCCTGGTGACCAGGTCCCAGGCAGGCAAGACTCAGCCTTGGTGGGTCCTGAGGACAGAGGAGGCCCAGGAGCACCCGGGAGAGAGGTGGAGGGACACCAGGAGAGCCAGGAGCGTGAAGACAGCGGAACTCATCACAGAGGCTGAAGTCCAGCCCCAAGTCACGTGCAGCAGGAACAAGCAGCCACTCTGGGGCATGAGGTGGAGGCGAGACGGCAAAGAGGGTGCCCGCGGCCTGGGGAGAGCGGGGCTGCTGCCCACGACTGCTGGACAGAGGCTCCCACGCTCTGCTGCCCGCGTCACGCCGTTCGGTGAATGTCACGCAGAGTCTGCAGACAGGAAGGGAGGCACGAGCGGGAGCGCGGCAAGCGTCTGCCTCGGCCGTCAGGGAGGACTCCCGGGCTCACTGGGAGGAGGTGCCACGATTTCAGCTTTGGTAGCTTTTCTCTTCTTTTAAATTTTCTAAAGCTCATTAAT